GTGCTGCTCTTCGGCAATGCCACCATCGATTCTCGAATTCTAACGCTCACCCACAATCAAACTTTCTCCATAGGTCGTGCCTTGTACCGCGAAAAAATCCCCACCAAGAAACCAAACTCTTCTTACGTGTACCCTTTCTCCACCTCTTTCATCTTCGCCATGGCACCTTATGAAGACACTCTTCCGGGGCATGGTTTGGTTTTCATCTTCACGCCAGTCACGGGCATCCACGGCACAAGCTCTGCACAGCACCTTGGTCTGTTCAACCTCACCAACAACGGAAACGCTGGTAACCATGTTTTTGGTGTTGAGTTCGATGTGTTCATGAACCAAGAGTTTGATGACATCAACGCCAACCATGTTGGGATTGACATAAACTCTCTCAAGTCTTCTGTTTCTAATGATGCTGGCTATTGGCCAGATGATGGTGATGAGTCTTTGAAGGAATTGACGCTTAACAATGGTGAGAATTACCAAGTTTGGATTGACTATGAAGATTCTTTGTTTAATGTTACCATGGCACCGGTTGGTATGAAAAGGCCAAGTAGGCCTTTGTTGAATGTTTCTCTCAACTTATCTCAGGTTTTTGAGGATGAAATGTATGTTGGGTTTACTAGTGCCACTGGCCAATTAGTTGAGAGCCACAAGATTTTGGGCTGGAGTTTCAGCAACGAGGATTCTTCCTTGAGTGATGAACTAATTACTACTGGGTTACCTTCTTTTGTTCTTCCAAAAGATTCGATTTTTAAGTCAAAGGGGTTTGTTGCAGGGTTTACTATTGGAATTTTCTTTGTTGTTTGTGTCTTGGTTTTGTTGTCACTGTTTTTGATTCAGAGGAAGCGCAGGAGATATAGGAAGAGGCAGGAAATGGAAGATTGGGAGTTGGAGTATTGGCCACACAGAATGGCTTATGAAGAAATTGAGGCAGCAACAAAGGGGTTCTCTGAGGAGAATGTGATTGGGGTTGGTGGGAATGGGAAAGTATACAAGGGTGTTCTACGAGGAGGGGTGGAGATTGCTGTGAAGCGAATTTCTCATGAAAATGATGGGGTGAGAGAATTTCTTGCAGAAATTGCAAGCCTTGGGAGGTTGAAGCAAAGGAATTTGGTGGGGTTGAGAGGTTGGTGCAAGAGAGATACTGGAAATTTCTTGTTAGTTTATGATTACATGGAAAATGGGAGCTTGGACAAGAGGGTGTTTGATTGTGATGAGAGAAAGATGTTAGGTTATGAAGATAGGATAAGGATTATTAAAGATGTCGCTTTTGCAGTGTTGTACTTGCATGAGGGGTGGGAATCTAAGGTGGTGCATAGGGACATCAAGGCCAGCAATGTGTTACTTGATAAGGATATGAATGGAAGGCTTGGGGATTTTGGGTTAGCCAGAATGCATAGTCATGGCCAAGTTGCTAGCACCACAAAATTGGTTGGAACAGTGGGGTACATGGCTCCTGAAGTGATCAAGACTGGAAGAGCTTCCACTCAGACAGATGTTTACATGTTTGGTATCTTGATTTTGGAGGTCTTGTGTGGAAGGAGGCCTTTAGAAGAAGGTAAACCCCCTTTGGTGGAGTTTATTTGGCAACTAATGGCACAAGGGCAACTTGTGAGTGCACTTGATGAAAGGCTAAAGGCTAAGGGAGAGTTTAGTGTGCAAGAAATGGAGAGGGTAATGCACTTGGGTTTGTTGTGTGCCTACCCTGAACCAAAGGCCAGGCCCACAATTAGACAAGTGGTGAATGTTCTAGAGGGGAAGAATGAGGGAGAGGAGTCAGAAATTGAGAATATGGATAGTTATTTGCTTCAACAGTTGAAATCAAGGGATATTTTGTCCGAGTATTCCCAATATTTTAGCTATGCATCACACCCAACTTTTCAAGATATTCGTCACTCTTCTTCAATGTCCCTCACTATGTCCGAATCTCTAGTTGAGGGCAGGTAAATCTGTGTCATCAATGACAAAATTGGATTTGTTCATTAGTTCATGGCTTTATCAAACATTTGAGTCATTCTGGCTATTGTTGAATTTGGAGTTACCTAGCAAATTCATTTATCATATTAGTTTGGTAGAAGAGAAATTTTTTACACTACAAAGTCCAAATTTTTGGTTGTACAGAATATGCCATTATAGATTTTGATCTGATATGCTTGATTGCATCTATTTTATTAGTTTCTATTCTGACACAACACTGGGCCAAATCAAATTAAGCTCTAACCTGATTTTATAATTCATGACACTATGATAGAAGAAATCTGCCAGTTAATTTTCCAAACTGCCATCATAAAACCATTTGGCTTTTTTGGTTAACGTAAGGAAGCAAAATAAGAAAGTTGATTTTTGCCATCATAAGATTATTGTTTGGTGAGAATTTTGGCAGCAGGCGCAGAGTCTGCACCTAATAAGCAAAGCTATATTGACATCATCAAGAAACGAGGGCAATTCAACTTGGCATTTTAACTAGTAAGTTGAGAACTCAAATCACAATAATGGAGTGATTTGTCAACAAGCTGGCTTCGTAGTTCGCACGTTCTTAAACTAGCCATAGCATCAATCAATATTACAACGTCAAAATTTTAAAGTTTCTGTAAGACTGTAACAATAATTGATAAATTGTGGTCATATAAGTCATATTAATTCGCAATTTTCTAGATTATCAAAAATCGTGAACTTAAAACTGCATAGTTTGAGCCGTATTTGATTTTGAAGTTTAATGAAAATAATCCTTAATTAAATTTTATTTATCTTTCGGTCACATTTATTCACAATTTTCTAGAGTAACAAAAATATCCATAAAATTATAACTGCTTTTAAAACTTAACCATCAACAACTGGTGTATTGGTGGAACAGAAGAGTGCCCTGCCAGCTGGGACCTGATGCATTAATTCTGCCACCCCCACCTACAAACAAACAATAATTTTATGAACCAGAATATCTTCTAGTGAGAAGTTAAGGACTAGCTTATGGAGTTACTGACATTTATTTAACAAATGTTTTTCAATTTTCATACGATCAAACTAGATCGAAACTTGCATATTTAAGGGCAAAGTTATTTGTCAACCATATTAAACCTCCTAATTATTCCACCAACAAACAATCGAAAAATTGAGATAACACATTTAATGTTTTGATGGCCCGGCCCACTGTATCATGTGAACACATAAAAACCAGGGAGAGTTAAATTATGAGCTGACAAAAATAACGTCTCATGCTATAGCTTGGTTTCCACCAAATCAAGTGGATAATTAGTGCAGCACACTGTTAGTTTATGTGTTGAGTTGAGAATGACCAAAATTTCCAACCTCTAGCGGTCCTGTACCAGAAATTGGAAAAAAAACATCAACGTGTGCTTTTTTGCTTTTGGGAAAAGTATGATTAGGTGATGCTTTTCTCATAGTACAATAATACTTGTCAAATACTGCAAGTGGCTGGATTTAAAAGATTTAATTGTGAACTCTCAGTAATCAAATGTTTATAAATGCTGTTTGCAAGTGAACAATTTATAGAATTTATTTGTACGAATAACACCGGTCACTAATGTTATTTATAAAAAGTGAAGTGAGTAGATTATTGTTGTCTTTGTCCCAATCCCAACCCAACAACATTGGTTGTCTAGAATCTAGATCCTCTTCTAAACAAATAGTAGTAATAAATGGTGCGGTCCACGCGCTTTGGCAAATAAAATAGATGTTTGTTGAATTGGTTTGGGACAAACGGAAGCATCCAGCTGAGCTCAAATGCCAGAAAGAAAGAGCGGAAAGGCAATATAATGCATCTAGGCTCTTAGGCTAGAGTTGGTCTTATTTATAGATTAATTTTTAATTATTAATTTTACAACATCATATATATTATATTGACCAAAAATAATGTTTACTATACCTGATATTTATATTTTTAACTTAATTTTGTGTTCTAGTCGGATGTTATTATATTTTACTATATATCTTTGAGTTTCCGAATTTTAATTTGTAACAGTCCAGCAACCCGCATGTGGATATTGTCCGCTTTGGCCGCAGCCCTCACGGTTTTGTTTCTGGCAATGGCACGCATGCCACCCCAAAACGCGTCCACACAAGGAAGGTATCCACACCCATATATATGGCATGCTTCGTTCTCCTTCCACACCCATATATATGTTGCGAGTGATCCTTGTTTGGTATATCGATAAGTTTTACATTGATTGTTGAGGGCCTAACACAACCCTTCTCCTTTACCTGGCTTGGGCATGGCTATAAAATCATAAGCTGAGTTACTTTTTCATGGTAAATATTTATATGTTTAAATACTCATTTGGTCTCTATAGTTTCATATACTTTATCTTAAAAATATTTTATTTTAGTTTCTATACATACCATTTTTATTTCCTGTTTTATTTTATATTACTAAAAGATAAAATTTATGAAACTATAAGAACTAAAAGATAAAGTTCATGAAACTATAGTATCAAATAAGTATTTAAACCTATTTATATAATGTTGTGTTCATGAATTTGAATGTTTCTAGACCTCCAAACAGTGGTTGATCGCAAGAGGATATACTGTGTCTAATTTGTAATTTAGTTTATGTCATTCTGTACTGTTAAGGTTGGTTGCTTTAGATTTTAATTTTTCATTGTTTACTGATAGCCAGAACATCATGTTAATGACCCTGAATCCGAACCTGTTCTGCTTGATGCAATCCCTACTTTGAAGTTCAACCAAGAGGCTTTCAGTTCGCTTGAACACACACAGTGTGTAATATGTTTGGCAGATTACAAAGAAAGAGAAGTATTGCGCATCATGCCCAAATGTGGCCACACTTTTCATCTTTCTTGCATTGATATATGGCTGAGAAAACAATCTACCTGTCCGGTGTGCCAGCGAGGGCGCTGGACTCCCTTGAGGGGGGGTGGATTGTGAAGTCCACATCGGTTAGGAAGGAGAACGAAGCATGCCATATATATGGGTGTGGATACCTTCCTTGTGTGGACGCGTTTTGGGGTGGCATGCGTGCCATTGCCAGAAGCAAAACCGTGAGGGCTGCGGCCAGAGCGGACAATATCCACATGCGGGTTGCTGGGCTGTTACATAATTCATTTTGACATTTCCTTCTATTTTGTCCATAACTTATCAAGGTGACATTTTTCTTCCTTCATTCTAGGGTTAAGCGTTGAGATCAGAGTGGACTTTCCATTTGCAACGTTAAGCCTGCTTCTGGTGTTAAAACGCTGAGGTCAAAATCATCAGTTTTGCTATTTTATCAATAAAAATATAAGAAATTCAATTAAAACTTAAAAGACAACATTTATAAAAAAAAACAAAAATTATGTGCAAAGCAATATCTATATAAATTCTTGTCTACTTTTTCATAATTGCAACATTTATTTGACTTGTTTTTTAAATGTGTACAGTCTCAGTGTTGGCATTACTATATATTAAACTAGCACCTACCAAAATTATATATATACGATTTATAAAAACCGTAAGAGTACCTGTCTTTTAGTATATGCCGGTGCAAGTTTTGCAATATTTGTATCTAAAATCCTTGGATTTATTGATTTTTCCAAATGTACTCATATTTAGGGTTTTCCAAATGTACTCATATTGATTAAATTATATTTGTGATGTATATTCACGGGGACTAGACATATACATCACAATTCCAATTTCCTCCTTCATTCTTCTTATCATTTTGTTATATAAAATTTTATATAGGTATTACTACCATAGACAATCTCATCCTAGCTTCTGCTCTATCATGGTTCCTACATCTTACATTTTGTTTGAAGAGCTTATAGCTGGCGTTTGTGTGCCTGTATATCTTGTTTTACTGAAAAGATACACAAGCACTGCACTTGCCTGAAGATTGAAAATAGGGAGGATTTTTGCAATTACACAAAGAAGAAAAATGAATTAGGAATTTGGTCAATGAAAAGATTGGGGAAAAGGTAATCAAAATGAAAATAGGGAGGCCAGAGGACTCCAATTAACTTGGCTGAAGTTGAAAGGACTTCAAGGGTAACTTTTTTTTAGAGCCAGAGCTTGAAATGAAGTGGGATAAAAATTATGGTTGAATCTCACAGTACCAAAGTGTGTGAATAAAATGTGATTGAAAAACCGTGGGTGCGCAAGAATAGCGGAATTGTTAATTTATGGGAATGAGAATTAGGAAGTGAACTCAAATCAAAGAGTAATCTAGTATATTTGGTTTTATTTACTCTTATACTATAAATTATAATATAATTAGACATTTTAATAGTCTCTCTTTTCTACTTTAGAAATGTATTTTACACATTATCTCCATAACTACGGAAAAAATGTCTCTTAACCATATCAAATTGTTTATTTCCTCCTACCCATGCACCCCAGGTCTTAAATATGGTTTATGCTACACAAATTTTTGCTTCCTGAGGATGGACATTGATTAACGGAATTTCAATTATTAAAAAATAGGATGGAAATTTACATGTTCATCTTGCATACAATTTCAATGGTGCTGTTAATCTGCTGCTGAAACGCATTCATGCACAAAGTACCTATTCTGTTTGCATTCTCCGTGAAATATCCTTAGCATCATTTACCATGCCAAGCAGCCAGTGTTCCTCCAACGGAGGGTGCTAAGAGAGAACACTCATAATTCTTACGTATTTATATCCGATCAAGCTATTTTTCTATTTACTTTTTTCACTTCGCAATTCAGTCTTAGCATACATTTCCACCACTTGTTTCTTCAACCAACATACTCAGCTTATCGTAACATAATTCTTCTCCCATGTCAAAAGAAAGTGAGGAGTTTTCCACTGAGATTGTGCAAAGAGGTGTTGAAAACTCTGGCCCAAATGCTGGCTCTCTTTCTTTCTCAGTTAGAGTGCGTCCTAGGCTGCCAGATTTCCTAAGTTCAGTTAATCTAAAATACGTGAAATTGGGGTATGGCTACCTCATTAGCCATCGCTTGTACTTATTGCTGGCACCACCTCTCCTTGCAGCCTTGATTGCTCGTATTGGAAAGTTCACTTGGCAAGACCTTTATCAGAAGTATGGCCTCATTGAGGTTCTGTTCATATCAGCACTTTTGTGCCTAATGCTATATTTTTATATTGACTTCACACCCGGCTCCACCTATTTGCTTGACTTCGCATGTTTTCGCCCTTCAAATGAATACAAGGTAAAACACAAACTTTTTCTTAACTAGTTCTCACATTTCACATACCAATATGTCATCATTGCTCTCTCATCATTGTTTAGTTTTTTAGACACTGCTTGAGGAGAAATTATTGGCAGTTATATACCACATAATCCCTGATTGGTCTCTATATCACATATACATATAATCAAGTATTATTAATTTTTCTCATGAATTAAAAAATTTAAATACATGTCATATAGTGATTGGTTGGAGTATAGATACTCTGTGATTCTGGATCACCTAATAATTTATCAAGCTTGAGGGGGTAAGGTAAGCCTATTTATGTATATATTCAATGTTGGTATGTATTTAATAATGAGATATTTATGCAGATCTCTAAGGCTGAGTTCATTGAGTTAGCAAGAAAATCTGGGAATTTCAATGATATTGCCATTAAGTTTCAAGAACGAGTTCTTAAGAAATCTGGCATAGGAGATGAGACCTACCTGCCAAAAGGAGTTTTTGGCCCTGGTTACAGAAACTCACTGAAAGATGGGAGACAAGAGGTATCCATGGTGATGTTTGGGGCAATTAAGGACCTTCTTGCTGCCACGAAAGTGAAAGCAAAGAATATTAGAATCCTGATAGTAAACTGTGGAATACTAAACACCACCCCATCGCTCTCATCAATGATAGTAAACCATTTCAAGCTTAGGCATGATATCCACAGCTTCAACCTTGGTGGGATGGGTTGTGCTGCTGGAATCACGGCCATTGATCTTGCTAAAGACCTTCTGGATGCCTATCCTAGAGCTTATGCTCTTGTAGTTAGCACAGAAGCTGTGAGCCATACATGGTACAGTGGCAATGACATTGACATGCTGCTTCCCAATTGCTTCTTCAGAATGGGGGCTGCAGCCATCATGCTCTCAAATTTCCACCTAGATAGATGGCGCGCCAAGTATGAACTCAAACAGGTATCCCGTATCCCTCAACACAATTTGACTCTTCTAAAGATGCTTTAGTGTTATTCTCTAATTAGAATCCGAGAGTTTTCGAAGTGAATCTTCAATTTTGATAAAAACAACACTAAAAGCTCCTAATTAACTATGTATAAGTTGAGAAAAGCTAGTAACACTCATTCTAACACTCTTT